CTCTCTCTCCACGGCGCTCTGTCTCTGACTCCACCTATCTACAGTGTTGTATAAGTAGTGTCCTGATCTTTCTCCTGAGTAATTCCTCTTCAGATTCTCCCAGGAGTTTCGACCCCTGACCTCCAAGGATGGATAACGCCACATACAGCTACATGAACGACTGCACTCCGCTCACTAACTGTAAGTCCGGCCGTAAGGCTGGCGGCTCCACGGTGGTCAACATGAGCCATGCGGGCAAGAAGCCACCAAACGACTACCTGATCTGGTCGCTCTGTAACACTCTTTACGTCAACTTCTGCTGCCTGGGATTCATGGCTCTGATCTACTCCATCAAGGTGAGCTCAAACACCAATGTCTTGGAGTTTTTCTCTTGAATATCTTCGCCTGTTTGTGGCTTTCAAACCTCTTCAGAAATATTCCTGGATGTCACATGATGGACCATCAAGGTTCTAAATAGAACCAAAACGGGTCTTACAGTCCAACAGAAGAACGTCTAGGTGTTAAAAAAATCATTATCTTTTTGATGCTTTAAAGAGTCTAGAAACCAAAAAGCACCTAAGGAACTAACAATACAACATAAAGAACTTTTTGATCTCCAAAGAACCATAAAGCAACTCAAGAACCCTACAGAGATTAGATGCACCGTCTTAAACATAAAGGTTCCAAAAGAGGAATTTTGCAGCGGTGCCAGAGAGAACCATCTTTGGTTTACCAAAGCACCTTTCAGTGAACAGTTCCTAAAGGAACCTTTTTTTTTGATAGTGCGAAGAACATTTTTTAGTAAACTTTTTCCACTATAAAGAAACTTTTGTGTAAATGGAAATGTTCCATGAATGTTCACGAAACCATTGATGTGAATAAAGAACCTTTATTTTTAAAAGAGCAGTTAAGTAGAGAAGGCAAGAAGGATCTTTGCTGGACCTAATGCAAGGAACCACTGAAGAACCTTGATTGTAAAAACACGACTGTCCGAGACTCATTTCCATTTTGCGTCTGTCTGTTTCCAGGCTCGAGATCAGAAGACCTTGGGCGACATGCGTGCAGCACAGGAATGCTCAGACAAAGCGAAGTGGTACAACATTCTGGCATCGGGCTGGAATCTCTTGATTCCTCTGCTGCTGTTGGGTCTGCTGGTCCTGCTCGTGGTTCATCTGGGCAGCTCAGAGGGAACGTTTGATTTCTTCGGTGAAGACGGATTCCAGAGCTTCATGAAGCTCTTCAGCAGGTAGACAGATCGACTCAATCAATCCCACCACCAAAAGCTCCTGCAAACCTTCTGGACTGTTCACCCTCTCTCCACTTTACCAGCACCATTTCTTCAGCTGTGTGGTGAATTTTATGAGTTTTTTATTTTTCATAATTAATGTCAGTGTACTGTATATTAACTCATATCTACGCAGTTCTATTTTGTGAAGTAAATTGGCTCAACTGTATTTAATAAAATATTTAATGTCCTCAATATTTTTCCACATGAGTCTCTTTGAACAGATTTCTGTCACCTGTGGGATAAAATAATTACAGTGGTCACGTTAGCGATGTTGCCGTGGAATTTAGCGTGCACAAAAGTCTATTATTAATAGTATCGGCTTTAACCTTCTTTTCCCAGCTGAGAAATCATTTTACTGGTCTCCCGGTCTGGTCAGGCTAATCTTTTTGCCAGTTTTGGCTCCTTTAAAGCTAGAACGCAATCTTAAACCAGCTTGGCCTGGGTAGGAGACCAGCCTAAATCATGTAAACCTGGTTTAAGCTGTTTTTTTTCTTTTCAGCAGGGAAGTTAATTGGTTATGAGGAGCAGGTTAACATGACTTCTGTGCTGCGAGGCTGAAGGGATGCTGTGGTTTAGTTCTCGTGTCTCTGTAATGTTCAGCTGTGCCGCCTGTGCTTACAGCGGCGGACCCTCCCAGCTCTACTGGTATTTTTATAATTTAAATGACAGAGCTGTTTGCCAGCCTTCTCTCCCCTTCTATTTCGGTCAGTATACAGAGTGGACACAGATGTGGAGGGACTCGATTAAAGAGCAGTTAACACACACACACACACACACACACACTCATGTAGACCTTCTGCCTTTGAGCCGGAGTCTATTTCTTGTGTGTGTGGATTGCTGATTCTTCATTTGAACTATCAATTAAATCTCAGAGGTCTTTGATATTCACATGCAGATTTAATATTACATCTGTAAAAAATATGGCTTTGTCATGCTATAATTCTTTTAATTAATAAACAGGCATTTTGGGGTGAATCTCATAAAACATATCAAGAACATGTCCGGGTAATTTAATGCCAAATTTAAAAGAAAATAAAAATATTAAATTTATGATAATTAAGCAAATTTGTCCTCAGTTCTCATTGCCGTAATGCAGAAAATGTCACTGATATTGGTGTAAAGCAAAAATAAGTAAATAAAGTATTTAATATCTGAGAGTATATAGTATTAGTACTGATTAATTGATGCTGAGGTTTATTTTTAATGAGAGTTTAGAGGAAAATGTACTGAAGTGCCATGAAAAAATATTGTAATATTCATAATATTATTATTGCGCTATCAATATTCCTAAAAGTTACATATGCCCAGTATTTTTTATATCATAAATGCTATATGATCCTAAGAAACTCATGTGCAAAAGAAAGGTTTATATATGCAAAATAAATTTGAAAGAAAAAATGAATATATATATACTGTATATATATATATAT